TTTAATGAAACAGCCAATCAGAAAGCTATTTTGAACTATCGTGTGCGTGTTTAAACATAACAAATTACTACTGTCTACCATATTATGCATGATAATACCTGATCCACGAAGTATAGCATTGACAATTCGTCATCGTGGATGAGCTAATTATACATTAATGCAGTTAAGATAGGAAACCCGAATACCTATGGAAGGAAGACATTACCCCGCCAGTTTTAGAAGACCGAATTAAACAACATTTTGATCTGCTATGCCTAATTCTTGAAAGACGAAAACAGTTATAGATATTCACCACCTAACGGGTACTAATTATTTCGCGCCTTAAAAACACTTTAAGCGTTGTGTACTGGTTAAATAAACATAGAATGATAATGGCCATTAAATAATCGAAGTTAATATGAATACTCACACGAAGTTAATATCTTTAGCCAAAGGCCACTTCATTTAGAAACTAAGAAAAAAAGTTTTTGCTCTATCATTACAAGTCACGTCTTATTCTACGGAAATATTTCGAAACGATCTTATGGAATAACTTTTTAAAATGATCATTTAATATTATTTATATTTGTTTTACATAAATTTTAAGCGGGTGCAAAAAAGGGGAAATGTGACTGAATTTTAGCGGAAAGATCTGGCGTCAATGATTTGCATGACAGTCAATTTCCCTCATGTGCCGACAATAAGCAGCTGGATTTGGTTCAAAACAATATTATGTAACTGGTTTTGAAAAGAGAATTCTCATGCGGCCTTTCATAATGAGAAAGACATCTTCAGCTTTAGCAAATTTGCCCAAAGCATTGTGTTTAACTTGATTCAGCCGACAGATGTTTAATCGAACCAGTGTAAGGTAAGACTATGACGACTAGACTTTGCCAGCTATGGGGAAAACTCCTTTTATCAGTAACTCTCGTCGGTGAGTACCAAAGTCTTTTTCAAAAGATCGATTTTAATTAATATGTATCAAAAATGTACTCCCAGGAACTAGCCTCTTCCGAAAAGGTAAAACGCGGGGTGAAAATGGAGTCCTCGAAAACTTACAATGCTTGTAGATGAGTTTGCTCCTCATCACAGCTAACAACATGGACTTCCATAAGGAAGTCGAGACAAAAGATTGCAAAGGATGTACTTCTAGAAGCCAGTTTGCCCTAAATGTATTCCTTTGGAATAGCATTGTAGCACAGGAAATGAAAATGCGAAGTCTTATAATAATAATAATAATAATAATAATAATAATAATAATAATAACAATAACAATAATAGTAATAATAATAATTATTTCTGTTTGGTTTGATTTTTCTTTGTAATAATATACTATAGCTAGGTCATTAGTAGGCGAGGAGCCACCTTGTGGAAGTACTACTAATAAAGTCGTTATTATTATTATTATTATTATTATTAATATTCAAGGTCTTCTTCTAACAGTCGATGCATTTTTTAATTTCCTTTTCAATTTTCACCTGGATCTGGAAGTATTTACATCATTGTTAACCAATTGTCATCTTAAATTCAATTGAATAAACGATATTCATGGATATATCGCGCTTTATCGACACGTCAGAAGGATAGGTATCCGAGCTTTCCTGCGATATCTCGTTTCAACGATAAATCATCCTAGTGATAAATCGTTCCGGCGAGATATCATTAGCGATATAGCGCTTCAGTGAATTTGAAAAATCCGATTTCAGAAATTTATTGCAGACCCAGGAATATGTCATTCTATATAGCGCTCGAACGATGTATTACAAAATTTCGTTTGTCATGTCTTTTATATCTCCTTCAGGCGAAATTGCTCCCAAACCTTGTTTCATTGTAATGTTTTATCAAAAATTGGCTTCTGTGGTCTCATTGCGTCAGCAAAGCGGAATTAAATGACTAGGTAGTCAGGAAATAATCATACTAGAAGCAACCCAATTACTTGTTCCGAAATATAACAAGTTGAAGTTTGTTTCACCGTTCAGTATGAAATGAGGCAGGCAACAAGGGAAATATTTCAACTGAATGTTTTAACCGAGTGATTTTATTGAAGAGTCGATCACAGCAATTCAACTTCTGATCAAAAGACGAGTGTAGGAAGAACAGAAAGATAAGATTAGTTAAGGGGTCAAATTTTGATACTTTCCCTTTTCATTTTTACTCAAACTCTTTTTCATAAATTCCATATGCGGTTTGTTTCTTCTATTCTCAGTACTTGTGTTACGGCGATTGCCGGCTTCGCGACATTTCGAGTTCGCCAAGTTCGAGTTCGTAACGTGTTCGCTAATTTGAACATCACGAGCTCTTCATTAGTAAACCCAGTTCGCTACTAAAGTCTAACTTCACTGAATACTGGTTTCAATTACAACACTACAGCGACAAAGTCGACTCGCAAGCTTTTCTGAAGAGGGTGTCACGATTTCACTTGTCTTTTTGAAAAGCGTGCAATATTTCATAACTTTCATCGGAAATATTAAAATTTATGTAAATCTCGTTTGTTCCTGTGGTTTAATTTTACGGTTTACAGTTAAGAACGCATAAGTAAGAATTCAACAGTGAATTAGTGAAGCACTTTATTATTGTTTTTTTCGCTCTAAAGGACATTTCTCGCCTACGTATAAGTGGCTGGGTGCCAAAAGGTTGTAATTTATCGTTAACTCTACCAGAAGATAAAGTATTGAAACAATGTTCCATATAGTTTGTAATTTTTTGTGCCGTGGCGAATCAGGTTAGCTGATGTGGCGAACTCGACCTATCCACACATGTACAGGAGGTCTGCTAACTATCCTGTCGACACAATATTTGAATTTACGCTAAACAGTTATACTATTAGAATACAAAAAAAATGCTTAATCTAAAGACATTGTAAGTCTGATGGAAGAATTCGACGAAAAGTGCGACGTTTCCCAACCGATCTAACGCCCGACGGTAGCGATATCTCGTCGACCGGAAACGATGTATCACTCAGTGTAAACTAGATGTCATCTAGCCTTGAGAAAAAAAAAACATGACTCGCCGAAAGCTCAATAGAGGCGACATATCACGGCTGCTAAAAAAAATATCGTCGATATGTCATTTCAACTAAAATATTGCTCAGATATTTGCAAACATGTTGCGATTATCTTTTGCATTACTTTAGAACAGTACTGTAATTTATAGAGGCCTAATAATAAATTGAAAAAGATAAAAAACATCAGAAAATAAAACAATCAATTAATAGATGTAAACGAAAGTGTTAAAAATAAAATACCAGACATACCAGATGGAGAACAGTGTGATAACTCTCGTCTACTCAGAAAATTACAAAACGCTGTAAATTTAAATTTTAAACTGGTGACATCCAACAGCTTCGCGGTGGCTGAATACTTTTCTGCCGAAAGAAGTCGGTTTTATCAGTAGCAGTTAATATTTGTCTGCGCACTTTGCAGTAACGGTGGATTCCATGAAATAGAATCTCCCAAAATCTGTGTATTGGCTCGTCGAAGCTCATGCGTCACCTTTCTACTTCTCTTAACAATTATCATTACTGATAATTATCATAAGCAGCGTTTTAATTTTTTTTTCAGGCTTTAGGCTGGGAGATTATGCAACCACCATACGTGTAAATCAAATTGTGATAATACAACCAGGTTTTGCAATCCAATTAATTGCAAGAGTGTTAATTATTCTTTTTAAATGGATTGTAAAGGTACAGGGTGCAATCAGAATTGCAACAGTAAAGCACACGTATGTGAATTTGATCTGAAATGAAATGGAAAGGATTATAGCAGCAATAGGAAAGAGAAGAGGTTAAAAAGTTAACCTCTCTCCTAACCCACACCCACTCCCACCCCCCACCCTCTTAGATACAATAGGTAATTTAAAAATAGAACGTGAGTTTAGCATTTGAAAGTAAGATAAGAACGTTTCTGTAAATGACACACTGCAAAATAACTCTCTTCGGATTGAAACGCAAACTGTAGACTTCGATGCGCGTGCCAAGAGCTACGCCATATCTTGACGCTTGCCGATCGAGGTGATTTTGCCGTCTTGACTCACATGCAGTGGTATTATGGAAATCTAAGGACCAGGATTTTCTGCCGCATGAAACTTTATGTTGACATGTTATAATTGACTATTTAAACTTCGGTGGGCTGCAGAATTCAGCTCGAAATGTATTCTCTTGAAAATTTTGAGAAACCCTAAGGGCGCGCAGTCTGAAACAGGAGGTTGATTACGAAAACACCTTGTATGAGCTATTAGTTATCAAACCGTCAATATTGAAGAAAAAAGTTAGTCAGGAGAGTATTCTGAGAAACATGATGTGCGTGCTTAAACAAAACAAATTAATTATTGCTGTCTACCATACTATGCGTGAATCTGATCCACAAAGTATAGCTTTGACTATTCGTAATTGTGAATGAGGAAACGATACGTTAATGCAGTAATACAGTAAATTTAAAGAACCCCATACCTATTGAAAGAAAAAATAAATATGCGTCGTTAGTGCAGGGCATAAACAGGGGCCATCTACATCTCTGCACCACCTAGTAGGTACCAATTTTGATGAAAGAAAAACTTCTAAAACAGATCCGTTATAAGCTGAGCTATAATTGTCTCAAGGCGACACGTTTAATGCTAGCGCCATAAAGAGACAAAGCTGATCGTCGTTGACTAGCTCAATCATTAAGAGTCCTATTAGTCGCTAATTGATATTGAGATTAAAATGAATATTTTCCATCGACGCTTAGCTAACATCCTTAGCCTAGGGCTACATACTTGCAAACAAAAACAATTTTTTTTCGCTCTGTTACTGTGTATCTCATACTAGCCTATTGAAACAGTTATGTGGATTGCAATGAAACCGTTTCTTGCTCTGCTTATTCCATACGTGTTCTATTTGTGCTGTAGTTCAAAACAGGTGTAAAATAATTATTGCGACTAGATTTGGGTGGAAAAATTCGACGTCAATAATTTGAATGACAGTCAATTACCGGCACATTATGCCAGCAATAAGCGACTGGCTGGGGCATAAAACAACACGAAGACAGATCTTTAAAATAGCTCTGAATAGAGGACGCCCACAACCTCATCATTATAACGCCAGGAAAGGGAATCTTGAGCTAACCTACAGCTAATATTAATTTGGAAAAAGCTAGCCTTTGGTCGAGTTTGATGCTGAAAAAAAACCTGACTCATACATCGATGGAAAAATAATCATGCATATGGCTGTTTGTAAAATGTGGGGAACACTCCTGTTATCAATAACTCTGTTGAGTGAGTACCAACATTCTTCTTAAAGATTTGACCTCGTAGAACATGTATCACAAATATACTCCAAGGAGTTGAATCCATGGGTCTCAGAATAAAGTTGAGAAAAAATAAAGCGGAAACTGAGACGGCTAGAACTTAGAATGGTTTTAGATTAGGATGCTTTTTGTTACAACCGACCTCCCCAGCTTCTGTAAAGAAGCCAGGAATAAAATAAAATTAACAAAAAAAAACATTTCAAGGGATTTACTTCAATAAACGAGTTAAGTAATGCATAATGATTTACAAGCTAAAAACCCGATTTAACTCTTGAAAACATGACGATGCTGTAATTTTAGCTAGATTTTGAACTCAAAGATATGCAAATTCAGGAATAAGTTAATGGATGGATGACACTAAGCTTTCCCAGCTTTGCCTCTCGCAAATTAGCCTAGCTAACAACAAAATTTCAAGTCCTCTTTGAGAAGGGTCTAAAGAGGTCCTTTATTTCCTTTTCACTTTTCATCTGATTTCGAAAAAGCGCGCACTTCGGCCAGTTGAAGCAGCGAGCCTAGCCATTATACATAAACAAATGCAGGGTGGCGCAAAGCGTAGAGGCATTTCCGATTTTTTTTCCCATAAATCGTTTTAATTTATTTGAACTTGTTCGACAGAAAACATTAATAGAGCGCCATCTCGAATTCTCGATGAGAACCTTTGTTTAGTCAAAATTGTCTTACTGCACCGTTATTATTCTAAGATTATCTTTCTTTATTTCTTTTCTTTTTTTTTTTTAGACTCTATTGCACTGAAGTTTTTTAGAATTCCTATGGGTCTGAGACAATTTTTTTTTAATACGGAAACATTTGCTATCGGCTATTGGTTAATTTTAGAGGAAACAGCCTATCAGAGAAATATTTTGAAGCACTATGTGCGTGTTTTAACACAGCAAATTACTACTGTCCACCATAATATGCGTGATTCTGATCCACAAAATATAGAAGTAGTGCCTCGTCATTGTAAATGTAGCGATAACATATCAATATATTGAGGATAAGGAACCCCCAAAACTGATGAAGGGGACTAAAATTCCACTAGTTTTTATAAAAAAATGCGCCTAATCAAACAATATATCCAATCTTAAAGGGAACAAAGCTATGTGCATCATCGAAACCACTCGTGCATGAGTCTAACAATGGTGAAATACTGCTCTGTGCCACTTAGCGGGTACCGATATCGCTTTTCCGAATTACCCTTGGCCTCATTTTCAAAACGAGTCCAGGCGCTCATCATTTCATATGATAATAAGTTCTCATTAACATGCAAATTAAACTCATTTTCACAAGAATGGTTGAGCACCAGGCCTCGTTTTGAAAAAGAGGCCAAGGGTAATTCGGAAATGGGTTATTGATAACAACGGAAAAAAATCCTCTAAGATAGAGCTGTTTCAGGCATTTTTGTCTAAGGGCGTATTTGTCTCGAGGTAACACGACTGATCCTAGCGCCCTAAAGAATTAGTTCGCTCTTTACTGGTTGAATAAACAAAGAATAGTAGTAAATAATTAATACTTATATTGGCACGAATGCTTAGTTCCCGTCTCCCGAAATTTATACCGTTGGCCGCGGTATAAATCAAGAAAAAATGTTGGTTTTCGCTTTATTATAATGCATCCCACGTTATTATGTTAAAATAGTTATAAAATCTCTAGTGGAATAGTTTCATACCAATTCTATTTGTTTTACATGAATTTTTAAACGGCTGCAAAAGGCGTACTGCGTCTTAGTTTCGTGGAAACAACTAAAGTCAATCGTTTGCATGACAATAATTATCCCGTATAATATACTTGCAATAAACAGCTGTTTCTAGTTCAAAATACTTAGTGTGTGACTTTTAAAAGATTTCCAAAGAGATAACACTCACCAAAGCCTATTTCAGAGATACTGGCAAAGTAAATTTGTAGTGAATCAACAGCTACTGCAAATTTGCTAAAAGGTTGCGTTTGGTTCAGCTAATAGAAATTCAACCTAGTCAAAGGGATAAAAAAAGATGATGACTGGAACTTTTAAGTTACGGAGAACACTCCGGTTGTCAGTTTCTCTCTTAAGTAAATACCGACGTTCTTTTCAAAAAGATGCATTTTTTGAAGTAACAACCCTGCATAAGCATCCGCCAATACATAATCAATAAAAATAATTGCATAGATGAAATCTTCAGAGTTTAAATGACCATCGGGAGAAAAGAGGGAAGCAGAAAAATATAGAACCTATGAAATTTGTATGGCCTGCATTATGATAAACCATGCTTATCATAAGCAACTTTTTTGGAAACGGAGAGTGGTTTTGTTTTCCTATCAGTCTTTCGGTATTATGCGTTAATATTTGCTATGGTAGAAGAAGTAGTCTGAATTTCAGCATTTACGAAAAACTGTATTTAATCATGAGCAAGAAGAGAAAGAAAAAAAAAAGCGTCGGTGTTTCGAAGTTTTTGATTAAACAAATAACATTTTTACAAAGGCAAAATGACAGTTTCTTGCAAAACAGCGTTAGGAACATAGATAGAGCTCTACAAAAATGCTCAAATTGCACCGTCATTTTCTTCAGTTTCTTTTATTTTTCTTTTCATAATTTTCCCTGAAAGTCTTAGAAAACCTTAATGGTAGTGAAACAGTGGCTAATTACGAAACTATGACCCCGTCACTTTTTCGGAGGAAGCAGCCAATCAGAAAACTATTTGAGCTATCATGCGTGTGTTCAAATATAATAATTATAATTACTGCTGTCTTCTGATCCACTAAGTATAGCAAAGGAAAACATTAACCCATCAGTTTTAGAAGATCTAAAAAAAAAAAGGGTTTGAACTACTATGCACAATGTTTGATAGACGAAAGAAATTATGTATCATTGCTAGCAATTTTTGGTGTACGGCATAAAAAGGTGTAATCTATCTCTCTGCAACAATTAGTGGGTACTAATATCGATAAAAAGGAAAAAAAATCTTCTATGATAGAAATTTTTTGAAATCGAGCTTTTATTATCTGAAAGCGACTCCCGTAATGCTTGTGCTTTAAAAACACTGAAATCGTTGTGAACGGGCTAAATAAACAGAGAATGACAATGGCCATTAATTCATCGTGGTTAATATGAATACTACTCGAAGATAATAGCTTTAGTTTAAGGCTACGTCATTTAGAAAAAAAAATGGTTTTCGCTGTGTCATTGCACGTTGCGGAGAGAGTTCTAAAAGATCTTATAGAATAGTTTCTTAAAATGATAATTCGATATTAGTTGTATCAGTTTAATCTACATTTAAAGGGGAAATTTAGCGAAAAAGATCTGACGCCAATAATTTGCATGATAGTCAATTTCCCTCATATGCCTACAACATGCAGCTGGTTCTGGCTCAAAACAACACTATGAGACTGATGTTTCAAACATTTGTGAGAAGAGAATTTTTACAAGCCTTTCATAATGAGAAAGAAAGCCTTGACCAATCCTCAGCAACAGCAATTTGAAGAAAGGCTTATTTGATTCAGCTAACAGATACTTTTAAAACCCATACAACGGAAAACAAAAAACAATGACCATAAGATGAGTACCAAAGTTACTCTCAAACGATTGATTTTGTTTAAAATGTATCACAAGTATAATCCTAGGAGTGGACCATATGGCTTTCCGAAAGGAAAAAAAATAACGATAGGGGGAAAATGGAATCCTCTAGAACTTTCAATGGTTCTAGATAACTTTGCTCTTCATCGAAGCTGCCAACAGTAAAATAAATCATTTCAAGAAATGTACTTCAAAAGGTCAGATTACCCTTCATGTATTACTAAGCCACAGGCTTTAAGCTTGAATTAACTCATACTTCTACCATGAAAATGTTCTCGGGAAAACATGGAAATGACGATGGTGTAATTAACGGATCCATTAGACCTTCGGGTACAGTTTTCTTAAATGTTTTGAGTTTTTTCACGTCAAACTAAACATTTCTAATTTAACAGTATTTTCGCAGATGAATTTTGGTAAAAGACTGAAACGTAAGTGTGCTATTTACAAAGACATATTTTCAAACTGGATTCTTCAGCCTGCCATTGTGTGAATAGCCAATTATGATATGTCGACCTAAATGACGCCCGAAGGGTGTCTTGCGGCGAAACACATAAGTCGCGTAAACATATCCTACCTTCGGTTGCACGTGGAGATCTTTGCCATCTCTCTGCGCGTAAAACGGAAATAGTAACGAAATTGCGGAAGAATCTCATCAAAACTGATAAAGGCTCCTGGCTGAGGCAATTTTCGCTGCTCAAACTCGATCAGCAGCCATTAAGTTTTGCCGCTTTGCATTAAGCTGTTAAGCAAAAATGTTGCGTCACTTTTCTACTAGTAATAACTTTTATCATTACTTCTATCACTTTCTTATCACGGCTACTATTATTACTACTTTTCAGGCTTTGGGCTAGACACTGATTTACTTGACGAAAATATACAGCCTTGTACATCCGACTACAATCTGCTTCAGGATTGCATTCATGGTAATTATTCTATGGAATGCAGAGAAACACGGTGTAAACAGGATTGCAACAATGGAGCTAAAGTGTGTGAAATGTTTCTTAACTGTAGTAAAGAGGAATGTAAACAAACTTGCGACGCTAGAAAATGTGGACTGGAATGCAGCGGGAAATGGTGTAGAAAACAGCATTGCAACCGTGAAGTGCAAGAGTGTGAAATGGTTGTAAATTGTTGCGAAGGGGAATGTGAACAAACCTGCTACGCTACAAAATGTGGACTGGAATGCAGCGGAGAATGGTGTAGAAAACAGCATTGCAACCATCAAGTGCAAGTGTGTGAAATGGTCCTGAATTGCAGCGGAGGGGAATGTGAACAAATTTGCAACGCTGAAAAATGTGGACTGGAATGTAACGGGGAATGGTGTAAAAAACAGCATTGCAACCATAAAACGCAAGAGTGTGAAATGGTCCTGAATTGCAGGGGAGGGGAGTGTGAACAAATTTGCAACGCTGAAAAATGTGGACTGGAATGCAACGGGGAATGGTGTAAAAAACAGCATTGCAACCATCAAGTGCAAGAGTGTGAAATGGTCCTGAATTGTAGCGGAGGGGATTGTGAACAAATTTGCAACGCTGAAAAATGTGGACTGGAATGCAACGGGGAATGGTGTAAAAAACAGCATTGCAACCATCAAGTGCAAGAGTGTGAAATGGTCCTGAATTGTAGCGGAGGGGATTGTGAACAAATTTGCAACGCTGAAAAATGTGGACTGGAATGCAACGGGGAATGGTGTAAAAAGCAGTATTGCAAGCATCAAGTGCAAGTGTGTGAAATGGTCCTGAATTGTAGCGGAGGGGATTGTGAACAAATTTGCAACGCTGAAAAATGTCAACTGGAGTGCAACGGGGAAGGGTGTAAAAAACAGCATTGCAATAATCAAGTACAGGAGTGCAATCTACTTTGTAACGCTAGTAATTGTATACAGAAGTGCGACGCTTCCACATGTCGAGTGACTAAAATCTGGCCAATCAACTCTCAACACAATCTAATGTGCTCTGGGAATGGTCCCTGTGGCACTTCCGATTCAAGAGCAAGTCAAGTTTTAGCAACCCAAATTTCAATAAGGCAACAAACAGGAAAATCCCAAGCTAACTGTGAGTAAACTAAGTTACATTTATTTGTTGTTGTCTGCGTTGGAGTGCTCGCGATTCTTTAAATAGAATATCACTTTCTCCAAAGTCCATATTTTAAATTTCCGACGCTTTATCATTAATATTTACTTTAACTTTCAGCTCCTTTGTTATTATCGTCACCATTACCGTTATTTTTACCCTCACCATCGCCGTCACCATCGGCATCGCCATCAACGTCAACAACAGCAGCAACAGTACAATCAGCTTTAGCAGACTCGTCATCAAAATCAGTATCAGCATTAGCTTTAGCGAAAGCAACAACATCCTTTTCATTATCATTATCACCAGCAACTGCAGCATCATCGCCGTTGTTTTCGCAAGTTTCGACTTCTCCGTCATCTACGTTGGAAGTACTTAAGAATCTGGTATGTAATTTATCTTCTCTTTTCTTTGTAATCATAATTCTCATAGTCTCTGCCATTCTTCAACGTTATTGTATTTTCTTCGCAACAGGAGAATTATTCTATTTCAAAACTTGGTGGAATAGATATCAGGGGAAACAGTTCTTTGAAGGTATGAAATAGATCAATCATTTATTGCTCCATCTGTCAGATGACAATTTATCAGATTCAAAGTGTCCAAGGTAGAAAGAAAAGCTTAAGAATAAAGCTAACGCATTAACAAAATCCTATGAATGTCATGTAAACGTGATTAGCCCTTCAAAAATATTTTCTAGCCTTTCGCTGTAATGAGGGTGGTATGAAGTTCCGCTAAAGTCGTGTTATTCTTTTCACAAGAGAGCGATGAGTCCGTGACTTTCAACTGAAATTTTATCAGTTCTTGCTTATATTACCCAAAGAGTCCAAATTGGAAGTAGTAATTATTACAGTAATTATTATCTTGATTAATTCTTACGATGCATATTTTCTGTCTCTTTTTTGTTGGCCTAACTATATGGCCAAATTCAAAGTGATATGAATAAGGATTATTTTGTTCGTTATAGGAGGCTGTGCGTATATTCGAAGACTTCACCGCTCACTTATTGAACATCACAAAATCCCATACAGGCCATTTAAGTAAAAAAGAGGATGAAACGAGGAGAGAATCCATCTTTGCAGTAGCATTCGCCTTTGAGGAATTTGCTCTTAATTATGGTAAACAACATCTGAGTGGAACGAAGCCTTCCACAAAAATCACAAGCCAAAAAATGGGTGGGTTAGAACACGACCTCTTCTTTAGATTTCTTAATAATTCTCAATCAGAAAATTGGATAACTGACCTTTTGAGCAACAGAACAGTTTCTTTGCTGCCTGACCTTAAAAAGTAATCTGTACAAGGGACTTCTCGAAAGGCTCTTGTAAGTAGTATCGGGAGCAAAATGGTCTCCTACCTCCCGTGATGATGCAAGTAGGTTCAGGAAGAAAGGTGAAAATCTAGTTAAATAAAAGTGTCTCTACTGTCTTTGTCACCATAATCTTTTAGATATTGTTATGATATCAATACAATAGTATATCCAAACTCAGTCTAATAAATTAGAATCGCGTTAAGTAATCGTAGTATGTGCTGCTGTTCTCGGCTCCCAATATCACTATTTGTTATCTAATCTTGTCCTTCTACCGGCAGTTTTGGGTATTCAAATAGGCTATCGCCAGAATATGACTGACTTCTTCTTTACGGAAGCAGAATGGAAATCCAGCATTAATATTTCCCCTGAAAATTTCGCTGAGAATGGTTTGTGTTAACCACCTTTTATACTGTAAACTTTATTTTAATTACATACCTAATTTAGTGGGTAAACCTAATATTTTTGCCAAAGCCTTTCTTGTTTCGCTCTTTTAAAATGTTTTAGGCACGAACTCCTCCTAGCCCATACTTAATTATCCATTCAGTTCTTTGCTAGAAAAAAAAGTGGAACATAGTAGATTACCATTTGAAATACATGAATATATGGACTAAATTGTCTCACAGTATGGCGTTACAAGGACATTTTCACACAGTTAAGCTGTTTTCGTTTTAGGATCAGTGATTGTAGGGTGCGTGTACAAGGATCTCCATGAATTGCTACTCAAAAATATATCAATCGCGGGAGAAACTGACAGTTCAAGGTGAAGTTAAAAAATGAATATTTAAAATTTGGTTCCCACTTAACATGCATACATTTAGTGCTATACCATGCCATAGCGAAGCCTAGTGAGCGTTGCCATCACCAGTTACGTGGCCCAATGTTTTAACGCGTCGGAAGACAGTTTTATAATGGTTAGGTTGCTCTCTTAACTCTGAAAAACACAGAGATGGTGGAGAAAAAAATACATAAAGCTGAATTCTTCAGTATTAAGTTAAGTAGTATTATACAGCATTGATGTAAGAAGCTTTGGGGAATACTGGGTTACTTTTACCTTCAAGACAACCTGGGTAGTTTTTAGAGTTTTTTTTTTTCCTTTTCAGGTCTGTGAACACCATGATAATGACGGCAGCTATGAATCCCAGGCCTGCAAAATTACGGCAAGATGTCACCTTAAAGTTTAGCAACCTAGAGGTAACAGTATGTATGAACACCGAAAGATAAACTAGGGCCATCTGTACTACTTTGACTCGGTTTTTAAAGAAATTTCATTTATAGGTTGTACATGCTGACGAAGAAAAGCATTGTATGTTTTGGAGTGGCTTCAAAAATAGGTAATAGCATCTGTACCAAATTTTGGATATAACTTGCACTCTAATCAGTTGAAAGAGCAGGTTTATCAGTGTACAAAACAAATCGCTAAAGATATCACACCCTCTGCCAACCTTTATGATGTCTATGAAGTACTACTACCTCTCGTTTTTCCCCTACATTTCTTTCATGCTCAAGCCGTTTCTCTTGGGTACTTTGCAACAGAACAAGGCACTGTTAAACTTCTCTTTCTTTATTAATTACATAACTTAACATGCTTTAAAATTTTGTGTTTCCTGAGTCCAAAACTTGGTATAGAAATTAGAAATTATCAGTCAAACGATGTTCATAGCCCTGAATGTCAGATTACGTTGTCGTTGACAATTGTTGACGTTTTGATATTCTGAGGTGAAGTCGGATCGATCAATTCTCATGACCAAGGCCAAACCGCCTCCCGGTTAGCTAAATGGATAGAGCGCTGGACTGTTGTGCGGGAGGTTGAGGGTTCGAGCCCCGGCCGGACCAACACTCAAGGTTTTCAAATAATTGATAAGAATGTGCTACCCTTCTATAGCATCAAGAAATGGTTAGATATTCTAGTCTTCTCGGATAGAGACGAATAAATGGAGGTCCTGTCTCCTGCAGGCTTAGGAGTAAGAGACGTTAATTTCCCACGCACGAGACTGCTGTGTGATGGATGTCCTCCCCTGGGGCGGGATGGGTGGGTTTGTTGGAGCTTAAACCTCGTAGGGGACCCATGTCCTATTGTTTCTGCTCCAGTACTTGGTACAGATCCTCAAATAAAAAAAATAAAAACCAAAAAAAAAAAACATTCCATCTACCAGAACTATTTATCTGATTAAGTGATTAATATATCCTTGCCGTCCTTTAGCTTAACTATTTTACTGGTTGGGAACAGTCGTGTAGGTTTGTACGTTGTTTTTCATGTTTGTTGTTGTAGCAAAGTTAATTTTATTTGGAATATACTTTTACTTTTGCCTCCCTCCAATACTCACCTATTCGTTATGTAGTACCGCCGAGAGGATACTGATGCATTTTTTCTATGAAATACCAAAACAAAGGCAGTCAAAACCGTAACTGATGTTTGAAACCCCGATTTTTTTATATAAGATCATTATTCTTATTTGCAAATGTTCTTATTTAGTGCAGGTGGGTTTTCAGAGGAGGGTTGTCGGGTAGATTCATCGAAAAGTGATTCCAAAGAAACAGTTTGCCATTGCAATCATTTGACTCATTTTGCTGTCTTAGTGGACTTCAGCGGTAGCACTGAGGTAATCTTTTGTTAATTGATTTTCAAGTAATAGGTCTGTGTGGTCAATAAATATATCGTCCTTTTTTTGTCTCTGTTTGTGCCACAGCTCTCCACTAAGGACAGAACTATTCTGGAGATTATCACATGCATAGGATTGAGCCTTTCAATCATGGGAATGCTATGGACAATAAGTCTGTATTCGTTCCTCACGTGAGTACTCTAATCAAAATATCATGAAAGTACATTCATTTCCTACATACCCTGGAGGATATTTGACATAAATCAGGCCAGTGCACTATTCATCGTGCTAAAAAAAATTGATCCATTTTTTCATGGCTACGACTACGATTGAAAAGACCGAGGTGCTAATATAAAACTACATCTACACGGCATGATGTGGGCGTCACTCGTTATCATTGACTGTCTAAGCTCAACTGCGTACATGTAACTAATCGCTCTTGCTTTCTTCCACGTCTTATTGTTTTTGTTTTTTGGTGCTGTTTAATACTTTTGACTTTATCAGAGATGTCCGTCAGCCTCTGTCTCAAATACGCTTAAGCCTTGCTGTGGCTTTAGGTGCAGGACAAATAATCTTTCTCATCGGAATAAACGCCACAGAAAACAAGGTGGGTGGTGACTTTTCTATTTTGTAGAATATATTCAAAGATATCATAATTGAGCAAAACATGAAAATGACAACATACTTGCTGTTTTCTTTTCCATTTTGTGCAGGCTGCGTGTGTCACAGTGGCAGCTCTTATGCAGTATTTCCTGATGGCTGCTTTCTGTTGGATGCTGGTCGAGGGAATTTATCTCTACCTGTTTGTTGTAAAAGTTTATAACATCAACACAACGATGCACATCTATCACATCATGTCATGGGGTACTTTGTTTTTACAGCTAAACTTACCTGATACATGTACTGTTGTGAATCATGTTTTAACTAGATGAATCATTTTAAGTCGCTTTGTCTGCTGTAAAATTGTGCAATAGGTTTGCCCCTGGTTATGGTGGCCATTTCACTATGTATCGCGGCTGGGAAAGAAGGGATACAAAGCTATACCAGCGACAAGTTGTAAGAGGCGTAACTGTCTTTCTCGTTTTGTCTTCTATTTCTTCTCTTACATTGTTAATTTTGCTTGTTGAAGTTTTGGCCTTTTGTATGATTTGCTTTGGTATCCTTACTAACTTTTACTCAGACCCCTTCTCATAAGGCTGTCAGTAGTTTCAACGTTTTCTAGATACTCTGACCAGGGGTCGGCAGAGAAGAGAAAGAGAAATTAAAATTATCAATCTTCCAAGCACTTTTAATCAAATTGTTATTTAGTCCATATATTTACTTTTTGTCACATTTCCTTTTTTCTCCATAATCTTACCTTTTGATCTTTACCTTATTCTTATCATGATATTTTCGTACACAGTTACAGTTGTTATACGTATACCATTTTGTAAATTCTCAAGAACTGCAACTATTTTTGCTGACACTTTTATTTGTATCTTAATTTTCTTTTTTTTTTTCCTTTCTTCATCTTAGTTGTTGGATGTCCTCAGCGAACAATCTGATTTGGATATTTGTCACATTCGTGATCACAATTGAATTGGTAAGTTTCTGATAAGGGTTATTCATTTTTGTCTCCATATCATCATCGGTGATTTTAGTATATGACTTTAAATGTGCAACACCCATTCCACAATGCAATTTTTTTCCTCCCTTCAAGATCAACTTGGTGATACTCGTACGAGTCATTAAGGAGATGACCAGTATGCAGCCAACAGGAGACAAGCAAAGTCAACAAATACGGTGAGATAGAGCTTTTATATTGAAAAAAACTGTTTTGATGTTCTTTTTAATAATTTCTGTCTATCTGCCTCAGCATTTTCTTAAAATCAATCAGAGTACCGAAAATTTTTGTAAGGGTGGTATTTATTCTATTAACCCGCATGTTTTCGTCCCCCAGAATTAGCATTAAAGCATGCGTGGTGATGATTCCCCTTCTGGGTATCACGTGGCTATTTGGTCTCCTGTCGCCATTACACATAGCTTTTTCCTACATTTTTAACATCTTAAACTCTACACAGGTGAGTATCAAATATTATCATTTCATAACTTTATACATTAAATCATCCATTTCCAGTCTCTAGATCACTTCATAACATAGTGAACATAGTACGCATCGTCTGATTGGTGAATTGAGATTCCAAGCAAAAGGCTTAATCCATTTATAGAGTTTGGCTTTAATATATGAGCTTTCTCCGTGTTCTCTTAACATCCCGTGTGACTTTTTCACATTATAGAACCCGGTAAATGTGTTCTATCGCTTACTTAAAACCAAAATTTTATTGTGGCGATATAAAATTTGCAAGTTCAAACCAGACAGAATAGAATTGAGTTAGGACATTAAAAAAAAAAAAAAAATTAACTTTAGTACATCTACCTCCAGTCGTATCACAAATCACAAATTATCTGATAAACGATGTTTTTCTGTTTAAGGGTTTCCTGATTTTCGCTCTTCACTGTCTGCGAAACAGCCAGGTAAGTTTAATTGAAAAATTATACATATGGTGTAGATAATGAGGTTTTCAAACTTGAATATGCATTAGAATTTTTTTCTTACTTTCCATGTCTATCTGCAGATCAGAGAGCGATTCAAAAGGAAGGTGAACACCATTTTTCCATCTTCAAACAGTGGAAACTCCACAAAGACGAGCTCACAGATTAATCCAAGCGATGTTGGTGATATGTGGGTAGCTGAATTACAGTCTTGCAATGAATTTGAGCTCAGTGAAAAACCCTCAACTTGAAGGAATAGAATCAACAGAGCGAGTACAAAAGTGGACTGTCTCATTGTTTAATACGATTATTCTGATCACCGTAGTTAAACTAAGGCGATTGTTTATTTTCGATCTGTTCATAAAATTTCGGCAGTTGCGATTGCACCATTAGCTGGGTAAATAAATCACTTATAAGATGTTAGTCTCTGCTGATATTTGGATGAAGGAGTCTAATTCGTTGATAAGGCAACTTGCCAAAGTCGGTGGTCAATCGGTTTTTTTTTTTTTTAAGCTAAGTGCAAAAAATATTAATTTTTGTAATCAAAAGCGTGTAGTTTTTTTCACTATCGTACGTAATATGAGAAACTTCGCCTTAGTTGCGAGCTAAATTGTTCGTAAGTAACGAGCTTAGAGGCTGGCTGTCGATCAATGTTAGAATTCTAAACAGTGTGTCCGTCACATATTGGTGTATCCGTTCCTCTTATGATTGCCCCAAACTATTTAGTTGGAATGTGGCGGTAATTCATATGACGCATCATGTTGACGCTGAAAACGTCTTCAAACAGTGCTTTGTTTAACTTTGATCATGGTAACCGCCTCCCGGTTAGCTCAATTGGTTAGAGCGCTGGACTGTTGTGCGGGAGGTCGAGGGTTCGAGCCCTGGCCGGACCAACACTCATGGTCTTAAAATGACTAAGGAGAATGTGCTACCTTTCTATAATATCAAGAAATAGACAGACATTCTAGTCTTCTCGGATAAGGACGAATAATCCTGCATCTTTACTTAGATAGATATAATTTGATCAGGCAGGGGACGTTAAAGAACGCACATCACGAGATTACTGTGATGTGGTCTGGCCTTGTTACTGGGAATTGGGGGGAGGGGGCATCTATAAATAATTCGCCTTTTTGGATTGTAAACTGCCACTGGCAGTCTGGTAAAGTCTCCCGCACAGTATTGTAAAGAGCATTTGATCATATCCACATGTTAATTTGCGCTATATAAATGTTAATTAATTCATTAATTCATATGCATTTTATTGTCTCGTCTTTGAATTCTGTTTATGCAGAGTTTTTACTAATATTACATGATGGTGTCATCTTTTTCTACTTTTTAAGGAGTTAAACTCCCTTTGAAATACCAAATACTATTTTCTCTTGTAATAGTAGTAGTTGCAGCTGACTGTTAAATGTTATCATGAAAAAAAAAAATGGATAAATAAACCAAAGAGGAACAGTTCCTTTAATGATCAGTTCCATCGCTCAAACGTAGTACCCTTTCCGGTCACAATCCTTCGATCACTTTGGATTCAAAGGAAGAAATTGAACTAATTTCTTGGAAACAAGTCCGATTTGCAGCACTGTGAAATAACAATGTAGACGAATATTGACGAATATCGCGTTTTATTGTTTCGATAAATCGGGAGCGAAGATGTAGGTCATAAGATGCCTAACAGTCCAATTACACCCACTCTGTGACTTATTTTTTTTGTTTGTTTATTTGTTTTGCTTTGTTTGTTTGTTTGTCATTGATTTGTTCCGTTATCTATCAATTTCTTTTACTTCTGTTTTAATACTTAGTCAATATAGTCAGCGCTGTAAATAAACAACCTCAGGCACCTGGCACGCCAGCTGATAATTTTGTGCTGCTAAGAGATCGTCCGATAAAGAAACTATTGGCCAAAAAGCAAAGCTTAGAAAGCAAATGTGAACATTAACAAGCATCCTATTATTTTTCATACTGCACATCGATAAAATATTTTTTGACCCTCTTTACGGTCCCGAACAGAATATGAAACCAGCTTTCTTAATCAATCAATCAATCAATCAATCAATTTATTTAACGTGGTCAGAACGCTTAGCAAAAGCTAGTTTACAAGTACGCCACGAAATAAAAAGAGAAAAGGAAATTATAAAGCCTTGTGAAGGTATATAAATTTAAATAAATTAAGAATTAAGAACTACGA